CATGAGGAAGCTTTTTCTTTAAACCCAAAGAGAATAACAAGTGAAAGCTTCTACGATTCTGGAGGATCAAGTTCGTCTCCTATTGAAGTTCTTGAGGTGGATTAATTATTATTTCTTATATCAGTATTATTTTATAAATTTGTTATTTTATTTGATTAATTGATGAAATGATTACTATTTATTAGTTGAGAGTATCCAGTATGAGAGAGAAGACAGTCATAATTAGCCTCGCATGCAGCAAAGGAACAAATACAATGGTAAAGCTATGTGAGATATTTGAATCTTTGAAACTCGAAATCATCAGTGCAAACATCACTGCTTTCTCTGATAGGGTTTTGAAGACTGTATTTGTTCAGGTCATTCCTCTCTCTCTCTCTCTGCACATACATGAATCTTCCTCAACTCTTTGAACATCTGCTACCTTCTTTGAATAGTGATTAGCTGATCATCATACGTTGTGGAGGAGGTGATACGTTTGGATTTCTTGCGAACTCGTTCTTTTCCTTTTCCTTTCTTTTTCTTTGCGTGTCTATGATAGGAAAAAGAAGCGATCATAGGGTAGGTAAGAATTGATGACAATGAAATAAATAGGAGTTTAACTTCGCTACAATGAAATAAATAGAATTTTAACTTCATTTTATTCTTTAATATTGTAAACTTACCCTTCCATACAAACAACTATTGTTTTTAGAATTTTACTCTTTGTACATAAAAAATGTACAGCTTTTGGACATTGAATGAGGTGTAAAGTTCTGTGATATTGTCTGTTTTATTTCTTTTTTCTTTGATTTTCTGGCTGTAGCTTTAATTCATGCTCATTTTTTAATACATTTTTTACTCTTTTTTCAGGCTGATGAAAAGGAGAAAGATATTCTGAAGATTAAAATAGAAACAGCCATAGCAGCTCTAAATGCTCCACAAAACGCTAATAGTTAAAGTATGTTAATATAATAATATGTTAACATATTGGTCGCCATAAGTACTTTTTTTATTATAAGTCTAAAAAATTTACTTATAAGTTTACTTATAAGTAAATTAGTATAAGTTCTTAAAATAATTAAGGACTTTGTTTCCATCCTACAAACCCTTTTTCAAGGATTTCCATTTTCCCTTCACTGTCGGTATCCTATGAAATGTAATTTAAAATTTTAAAATATGTTTGATTTCCTCTTAGCGTTAACTATATGTTTATAATGCGGAAGTTAAAGATGATAGTTCGTCGACTATGCAATATGTTCTTCCAAAAGAATCTTTCAAAGAGATGATGGTATTAAATAATATAGATTGAGGGTTCTATATGAATTTTTTATAATATATCATCTCATAAATTTAGCGAATTATTAATTTAGCACGTTATCCTCAAGTTGAATCGACCAAAAATATTATTTATCAAAATGAATCTTCGTAAATTGGGCTAAATTTATTGGATATTAAATTATTGAGGTTTCACTGTATATTCAATTTTAGAAAATTGTGCATCACAAATAGGAATTAATAAAGAGACCCACGATCCCGTAAGAGTTTGCTCAGAGTTCACGGCTATGACCCTAAATTTTATAAATTCATGATGTGCACCTATCAAATCAAAGCTAATTCAGAAAGTATCTTAATGTGATAAGCTCAATTAAAGGTGACGTTATGTGATTCATTTAATTGTGCATATTATTTAATGTCATGTAGGTGCCATGTTACACTAATAGTATTAAATAGCATTACTTATTAAATTTTACTATCATGACAACAATTGTAAAAATTTGCATCGCGTAGTAAATTTTTTAGAGGTGTCCAAAAGTTCCGAACCAAACCGCATCGAACCGAACCCGAACAGAATCGAGCAGTTCTTCATAAATTAAATACTCGAACGGGTACCCGAATCGAGAACCGATGGGTTTGGGTCGGGTCTCAGGTCCAGACCAAGAGCCGAAACTAAATAATTTTTTTATTTTTTATATTGAATTAATTAAATTATTTTATTTTTTTCTATACAAATTAATTAAATAAATTAGAGTATTTTATAATTTTAATTTTAAATCTCAAATCATTTTTAAAATCCATTAGCCCATTTTAATTTGAAGCAAATGAATATACTTTATGCAGTTTTGTTGTAATATTAATATCTACTTTTTGGTATTTATATGTATTGAATTAATCTTATTGGACGGTTAGTTATGTATATGTTTTTGAATTGGACTACGTTAATTTGTAAAAGTTACGAATGAAATGTCATTAGTTGTATTTATGTAGTGTTGCTGAAAATATT